ACAAGCATTAAGCATGGCAAAGTCATAGCAACATCAATCTCAGAACATAATGGATACTAGGGATCAAGCCCTAACAAAACTAACTCGATTACATGATGAATCTCATCCAACTCCTTACTGACTAGTGAGCCTACGAAGGAATTACTCACTCCCGGTGGGGAGCATCATGGAATTGGCAATGGAGAAGGGTTGGTGATGACGAAGATCGAAGACCCCCCTCCCCGGAGCCCGAAACGGACTCTTGATCTGGCCTCCCGATGAAGAACAGGAGACGGCGGCGGGTCCGTCTCGTGAAACGCGATAGTTCTTTCTCCCTGACTTTTCCTGGAAAAATGTGATTTTATAGTGTCGGTTTCAGGGTCTGCGGGGCCACCAGGTGGGGACAACCCACCTGGGCGCACCTGGAGGGGGTGGCACGCCCTGGTGGGTTGTGCCCACACAGGTGCCCCCCTCCGGTGGTTCTTGGCTCCAAAAATTCTCTTTTATTATATAAAAAAATCTTCGCAAAGTTTCATTCCAATCCGATAACTTTTATTTCTGCACAAAAACAACACCATGGTAGTTCTGCTGAAAACAGCGTCAGTCCGGGTTAGTTTCATTCAAATCATGTAAATTAGAGTCCAAAACAAGAGGAAAAGCGTTAGAAAAAGTAGATACGACGGAGATGTATCATATAGCTACTTCGGAAGCAGCGCACGAAGGAGTCTGGATGAAGAAGTTCATATCTGATCTGGGTGTGTAATACCTAGTGCATCGGATCCAATGACTATCTTTTGTGACAACATTGGAGCTATTGCCACTGCCAAGGAGCCCAGGTTCCCTAAGAGATCCAAGCACATCAAGCGCCGCTTCAACTCCATTTGTAATTATGTTAGGTATGGAGACATATAACTTTGCAAAGTACATATGGATCTGAATGTAGCAGACACATTGACTAAACCTCTTCCACGGGCAAAATATGATCAACACCAAGACTCCATGGGTGTTAGATTCATACCTATACACTAGATTATTGACTTTAGTGCAAGTGAGAGACTCTTGGAAATACACCCTAGAGGCAATAATAAACTGGTTATTATCATTTTCCTTGTTCATGATAAAGGTTTATTATTCATGCTAGAATTGTATTGACCGAAAACTTAAATACATGTGTGAATACATAAACAAATACTATATCCCTAGTGAGCCTCTACTAGGCTAGCTCGTTGAACAAAGATGGTTAAGGTTTCCTAACCATAGACATGAGTTGTCATTTGATAACGGGATCACATCATTAGGAGAATGATGTGATGGACAAGACCCAACCGTAAGCTTAGCAGTTGATTGTACCAGTTTATTGTAATAGATTTCTTCATGTCAAGTATCTATTCCTAAGACCATGAGATCGTGCAACTCCCTGACACCCGAGGAATACTTAGTGTGTATCCAAACGTCACTTTGTAACTGGGTGATTATAAAGGTGCCCTACAGGTATCATCGAAGGTATTTGTTGGGTTGGCACGGATCGAGACTGGGATTTGTCACTCTGTGTGACGGGGAGATATCTCCGGGCCCTCTCGATAATACAACATCAAGCTTGCAAGCAATGTTGCTAATGAGTTAGTCACGAGATATTGTATTACAGAACGAGTAAAGAGGCTTGCCATAAACGAGATTGAACTAGGTATGGAGACACCGACGATCGAATCTCGGGCAAGTAACATATCGCCAGACAAAGATAATTGCATACGGGATTAACCGAATCCTTGACATCGTGGTTCAACCGATAAAAGATCTTCTTGAATATGTAGGAACCAATATGGGCATCCAGGTCCCGCTATTGGTCATTGACCGGAGAGAGGTCTCAGTCATGATGATTGGCAACCGAATGTTGTTCGGAGTCCCAGATGATATCCCGGACGCCACGAGGAGTCTCGGAATGGTTGAGAGGTAAAGATTTATATATGGGAAGTCATATTTTGGGTTCCAAAAAAAGGTGCAATTTTTTTGGTATTGTATTGGGAAGCTTCCAGAAGGTTTCGGAGGATTCCTGAGGGGTACAGAAGTCCGCCAGTGGTCCACCACGTTCCAAGGGTTAGCATGGGCTGAGAGAAGGCTCCCTAGCCTTATTGGGCCAGGCGCACCAAGTCCTCAAAAGTCCATGCGGCTAGGGAAGGGAAAAGGGGGAGTCCTAGTAGGAATAGGATTGGACTTGGAGTCCAAGTCCTCTCCCCCTTGGCGCCAACTCCTATTAGGAGTAGGGCTGGACTCCCAGCCCTCCCACGCATATAAATATAGAGGAGGGGGCGCAACAAGGCACCCCAATACATTGGCCTTGGCTGCTGCCCGTCTCTCCCTGCCGGCATAGTACTCGTCAATGGTTTTTCGCTTAGCGAAGCCCTGCCATTATTTCGACTCCACCACCACCATCACCACCACGCCATCGTGTTGTTGTGACCCATCTACTTCTCTACCTTCTCTTGCTGGATCAAGGAGGAGGAGACGTCATCGAGCCACACATGTGCTAAACTCGGAGGTGCCGTCCGTTCGACACTAGATCGGTTGGATCGTGGTCGGATCATGAAGAGTACGACGACATCAACCACAGTATATACGCTTCCGCTTTCGGTCTACCAGGGTACGTAGACACACTCTCCCCTCTCATTGCTATGCTTCTTCTAGATAGATCTTGAGTGTTCATAGGATATTTTTATTTTCATGCTCCGTTCCCCATTAATGAATCCTTCTCTTTAATTTTTTTCTTGGCGAATAGGTATATATGGAGTTGGCGTTAGGCTTACCGGAGGTCCAGGGGCCCCACAAGCTCGCAGGGCGCGCCCCAGGGGTGGGCACGCCCCCTGAGCTTGTGGCTCCTAAGTGGCCCCCTCTGGTACATTTTTCCGCCAGTATTTTTTATATATTCCATAAAATTCTACTAAATTTTCAGGTTAACCCGAGAACTTTGATTTCTGCACAACAACAGCATGACAATTCTGCTGAAAACAGCGTCAGTCAGGGTTAGTTTCATTCAAATCATGCAAATTAGAGTTCAAAACAAGAGCAAAAGTGTTTGAAAAAGTAGATAAGATGGAGGCGTATCAACTGGTTGCTAGTAAAAATGCTCATGTTGATCCTAACGATGTATAAATAGGAATTTTAAATTAATAATGCAAGAACTAAAATATAAAATACATAGCATGATTTACTATATTTAATTATGGAGTTGAATATTTCTCATGCATATTTGCATGTCAAGGTGAGTTTTTCCCATGCATGTTTGCATGCTAAGGTGGTATATGCGTATGTTGAGAGAAATATGCCAGTGAATGCTAGCTTTTTACGACTGCACGTGGTGAGGATATTGTCCTTCGGCCCCGTCTTTGTCGCATCGCCGCCTCTTCCAATGACGGTGTAGGGCTCGTGAGGTGGTTTCTAGGAAGTGTTGCATGTCTGCTGGCTCTTGGGGTGGAGTTGGTGGCGCGTGCTATGACGGCGGCAGGTGCTTGCCATCTTTTTTTCAGGGGCACATACGCCAGACTGGGTGATGGCTTTGGATTTTGGCGTTGGTTCTTCTGACCCAGTGACTTCCCGTCCGCGGAATAGGCTAGCCCCAGATTCAAGGTCGAGGAGGAGCAGCGGCAGCGACGCGCCACCGACTCATTTTGGAAGCCATGGTCGTCGGGATCCAGAGGGACATATTTGTAATTTCTGTTGTTTTATGGGTCTCCTTGTAAGGCCAAACTTTTAATAAAAATATCTACCTCCTGCAAAAAAAAGAATGCTAGCTTTTAGTAGATACAGAAGATTTTTCATGAGGACTAATTTTTATCATACACTTATAAATATAAGTCCTCTATTCACATGTTATTACTATCAAAGTACAACTAAAGGCAAATATGAACTTTCAGAACGTCAAGGTCGGCTGGTCTAAAGTATAATCGTACCATCATCAAAACTAATACTTGTACTTTAATGATCTATAAAAGGTCTTTATATTTGTTTAGAGAGAGAGTATTTTTCGTAAAGCAAGCAAGCGATTCCCAATATTCTAGGCATTTGTGGTAGTACCTAAATTATTCTTAATAGAGTTGAAGAAACAAAATCAAACTTATAACGGCCGACAAAGCAAAATCATAATTTTGAAACACGCTTCAAATTCGTCGAATTCAAAAAGTACAAAAATGTACATAGTACAGAAATGTACGATCATGAGAGAGAGGACTAAAGCTATAGAATTTGTGACTATCTATAAGGGCTCTTCACCAAGTGTGTGCATTGTACTTTATGGATTTTTATTTGTGAATTTTTCCATGATATGTTGCACACGGTCATAGAATGTAAATATGAAAAAAATTAATGTTTTGGATGAATTCTCTGAGATGCCTGGCTCCCATTTTTACTCGAGATCGTTACAAGCTGAGCACGAGTCATGTTCTACAGCTCGATCATGAGCTTCACTTAGTTTGAGCTCGTTTGAATTTTCATATGAATTGAGCTGAGCCAACTTCAACTCGCTCGAGCTCGACTCGTTTGCAGCCCTAATTGCGACAAGAGCTGGTAAGTGCTTTCACAACTGCTATAGTTCTAAACCATTGTTGTATTTTATGGTATTATATTCTTGAAAAGAATTATGTCATTTAGTGTTGTTCACCCAAAGCAGACATCATATCCCATGTTTCAAACTAGCATCCAATTTTTCCCCCCTCAATTGATCCATCAATTTTTTTTCTTCCGTTGTAACGCACGGGTCCTTTTGCTAGTTATTCTTAATAGAGTTGAAGAAACAAAATCAAACTTATAACGGCTGACAAAGCAAAATCATAATTTTGAAACACGCTTCAAATTCGTCGAATTCAAAAAGTAATGAGGCATCACGGCTAGGTACAATAAACACACTGCTTTGCCATTTTGTTTCTCCGTCTCTCCCCCGAGCCCCAAACAGGACCGCGTCAGACCACCAACCCGACAACCAGCTACAGTCCCACGCGCACGCTCCGATCCGGCCTCCCGCCTCGACCCCGATGAGCACCGCCTCCGCCGACGTCGGGGACGCCGGCGATGGCGCCTCCTCTGCCGCCACAGCGCCCGCTGGCAGGAGGATCCCGCCGGCCTCGTCCATGCCGTGGGTCCGCAACCTCCGCCGCTTCGTCGGCACGGGCGCCGGCCTCGGATCCGAGGCCCTTATGGGTCAGTGCCCCTTCCCTCCCCGCCCACCACCCTTGCGGAGTTGTAGTGCTAGGCTAGGCTAGGCATGGTTGGAATTTCGCCGTTCGTATTCGGGAATGGCGGTAGGATTAGGGTTTACTGGGTCTCGTTCGAAATGGCTATGAGATTGGGTGAGGTTATGGTGCCGGGTGTTAGAGGCTGGCGTTCGCGTGAGCGAGATGAGATTACCGTGCCTCAGGTTGTGGGATGTAGTAATGCGGCCGTCATACGTGAAAGAGTGGTCGCCCATGACCTGCAACCGGTGATTTGGGTTGAGAGGGGAAGGCATTCCCTCAGAAAACCAGGAGGCCTTCTCCGACTGCATTTTCCATAAGAGACCCACTGGATACGGAGGTACTACCTCTGTAACTAAATATAAGACGTTTTTGCAGTTCAATTTAGTTACAGAGGTAGTATATGTTATGGTTTAAGAAGGTAACACCATAACAGACTCTAGTCGTGTGCTCTTGCAGGTTGCTATTTTACTCGTTAGTTGATCTGACTCTGTTGTTACTGGGCATCAGGGCAGCTCCTGATTAGTTTGGCCACTTCTGTTGTTCAACATTTGCATTTTCCATGTGGCATCACTGATCTGTTTGAACTTGCAGAATTGGAAACGAAAAGGATATTGCTTGAGATTTTTAAGGAGCGGCAGCGAAAGAGCGCTGAAGCTGGTTCCATCCCAAGTTTTTACAAGAAGGTGAAGCAACTTGGTTTACTTACTTGGATACAGGAGCTCTTGTTCTGATATTCCATGATAAAACTTGCCGTCTATCTAAATAAAATATGTAATTGTGCTAGTTGCTTTTATCAGAGATAATAAGTAGCAATGCCAGCCATTTTGGATTTCACATTGCATCACGGGACTATGCGACTTGTCAATATTTGATGATACTAATGCTTCCTTTTTTGTACAGAAACCTGAAGATGGATCTATTAGCAATAGAGTCCAGAGGTTGGCCAAGTACAGATTTCTAAAGGTAATTGAGCTTGAGCTGGCTGCTTGGGCATTTAACCACCTTATGATTTAGGCCTTACGAGAGCTATTGCAAACAAATTGCAGAAACAATCAGAACTTCTACTTAATGCTGATGATCTCGATGCCATGTGGGTTTGTCTCAGAGAAAATTGTGTTATTGACGATGCTACTGGTGCTGAAAAGGTAAGGTCATAGCTTGGTGTCCGTATTTTATACCGCATGCAGATATATTCAATTTTGCGCTATTGACTTGCTTCCCCTAATGTTGTCTGACTTCCTTGGATATCCATACTATGATATATACAGTGAGCACTGCTAAAATGGAAATATTTTTCTCGTTTTGTGTCTAACAGCTGTCATTATTTATAGTTTCTCCATGTTTGAATTTCTGTGCATATATAATATATTCAATGACATTATTGTACATCCATCTGTGTTCATTCTAATGTTCATGTTATTATACTTCTCATTCAATTCTTTTTTCTGGAGCACTGCAGATGAATTATGAAGATTTCTGCCATATTGCCACAGTGTGCACAGAGCAAATTGGCCAGAAATGCAAACGCTTCTTTAGCCCTTCGAACTTTATGAAGTTCGAGAAGGATGATTCTGGGAGAATTGCAATCTTACCATTCTATCTTTATGTTATGCGAACAGTAAGTTATTTTGTTAACTCTAGCAGTTTGATTTGTATGAGTATGTTGTGCTTCATTTTTAGGCTTTTAGTTGTAATGAACTATATGCAACAAAAGCCTACACTGAAATTTTTCCTTCCATTCTTACCCGATTAAGATTTTGGTGCATAATGTAACTACGTAAGTGGCACTCAACAATTGCTCCATCTGTTTGTAGTTCATTGCCATGCCATTTTTGTTGAGTTTGTTAAGAATTAGGAGGAATTTCCTTGTCTTTATAGAGAAACAACTGTCAATAGTACTGGTATTTTCAGAACACAAGAACCTGAAATAGGTAATGGCATAATGCACCAAAACAAGCTAAAAACAATCACCTTATACCAGATTGAGAATCATGCAAGACTGGACCGCTAGATAGTAATATAAATATATAATATCACAAGTTTGAACTCTCAGCAGCCACTTATGTTGAAATGAGCTGTTTTTATGTATCACTTTGCTAACTGTTTCTACTTTCAGGTTTCTCTTACTCAAGCAAGAATTGATATGAGTGAACTTGATGAGGATTCTGATGGTTTCCTTCAACCTCATGTATGGACTTCCCAACACATGTTAATGAAATTTCATACCTTAGAAGTATGTCACATTCCTTAATTTTATTTGCAGGAAATGGAAGCATACATCAGAGGACTTATTCCCAATTTGGCACAACTGCGTGACATGCCATCAGCCTTTGTTCAAATGTACTGCCGCATAGCTGCACGGAAGTTCTTTTTCTTCTGTGATCCACACAGACGAGGTACAAAACTGGACTTTTAATACAGTGGAATTGACATGCAAATTGTTCTTTATGCGAGGAATTGTCTTTCATAATCGTCTGCTTTTCAGGGAAAGCATGCATAAAGAAAGTATTGTTGAGCAATTGTCTTCAAGAGCTAATGGAATTGCATCAGGTAATAGCTATATGGATCACATGCTTTGGTGTGCAAATTTGGTCATCTTGTACTTTAGTGTATGATTGCACTATACAATATATTCTGGACTGTTGTTCCCTGTTGGTTCTCATCAACTTTATTTTCAGGAGAGTGAGGAAGAGGTAACGGATACCGAGCAGGCTGAAAATTGGTTTTCCTTGACTTCAGCTCAGCGCATATGTGGTATGTTAGCTGCCCTCATTTTTCTTTTGCCATTGAGGTCATTTTCTTGCACCAAGATACATTGTTTTTCATTCCCGTGCAGTATATACTCTATTTAATTGGTATGCTATTGTCATCCCTCTGCAGATATGTTCCTTGCACTAGACAAAGATACAAATGGCACACTGAGCAAACAAGAGCTGAAGGAATATGCTGATGGCACACTAACAGAAATCTTCGTCGAAAGAGGTTAAAATCTGCTCTCTGCTCTGCTTTCATTATTTCTTCTAAAGCACCTTAACCAAATGGGGAACATAAACTCTTAGCATGCTACTCCAAATCTTCAATGTTCTAATGCTCTTAATACACAGATCATTGATGTCTTCTTATAGTCTTCAGTAATGTATACAGAATAACAATGCAGTTCTACTTTTCAGTTTTTGATGAACATGTACGCCGAAGCAAAGTTGGAGGTGGCAACAGTCGTGAGATGGATTTTGAGAGCTTTCTCGACTTTGTTTTGGCCCTAGAGAACAAAGACACCCCTGAAGGGCTGACATACTTATTTAGATGCCTTGATCTCAACGGAAGGGGATTCCTGACAACTGCTGATATTCATACTCTATTTAGGTATGTATGGGATAGTTTGTAATATGACTGTGTAGTTTATATGGTGATGGTAGCTATTTTTTCTACAGTTATTTTGGTGTTAACCTACCTATATTTTGTTCATGGATGTACTGATGCAACCCCCTTCATTCCCCACTTTACTTTGTCATGCATATTCCATTTAGCTGAAAATATCTGCCTGGCAAAGGGAGCCGAAGTAGGAGAAACATATGGTTATTCATAATCATTATAGGAGTAATTACCTGTTGTCCGCACAAGACATAGCACCATTCTCTTCAAAGTTGAGAACAACCTTGATAAATCTTGACCAGCCTTTTGTTAATCTCTTCCTCAATAACTTTATATCATAGTGTGTATTAAATAATAACTGGCAGTAATTTATTCGGAAGGAAAACTGTATTCAATGATGCCCTTGTGTCTAATGCTTGGTCCTATTTATAGTGCATAGGCTTTCCCGTGAAATCCTGTTTTCTGAACAGGGGTTCAAACAATTCTGTACTTATTCGTTTCACCAAATTGGGCCTTAAAAGAGTGTTCTTCATGTTCTGGGAAACAAATTATATTCTGGAAGAAAAGAAAGGAGGATGTGAGAGTTAGCATTCCTGCCTGATACCATCTTCCTAGATTTAGTCTGCCATGTTTATGTGCTTGCTGAACTTCCGGACTGTTCTGCTGGCCTCAACAGGCAGGACATCATTGTTTTAATACTTTTTAATATGGATCGGAGGGAGTACCTTTTTTACACTCTCAAGTTCCCTATCTCTTTGTACTAATCAGTTGCACTATGTTAGGTATGAAACCTGAAGTGAGTAAGTCATTCGCAGTAGTATCCATGAACCTGGAACTAAACTTGGGGTTGGGCCCGTGGTACTCTAAAGCAGGTTTTGGGCACCACCTAGGTGCATCCACACCCTATACTTAAGCATCTGGAATGTAGTGTAAAGCTGCATGAATAGGGAACTTTACTAGGAGACTCCCGCAGTTCCTTCCTTGTATAGTTTGATTAACTGCACAATCATCTAACAACCATTTGCATATTTTTTTATTTGGAATCACAGTTCACAGTGTCAGTTGTTAAGAGAGAAACAGTCATACATGAGAGATGTTATGCTATAGATTTTATGTCAAATCTTTGAAGTTATAATCCAAGGCATATTCTGCCACTAGTCTTACACGAGATGCGATTGCAGGAATATTAATGTGACCAAAATTTTAATGGCTGTGGCCCTCTCACAATACCTACAGGCTAAAATATTAATGCGATGCCAATTGTGAAATCAGAATGTGTTGAATAAACACCTTATATTTGGTATCATAGTTGTGTCATTTCTTAGTAATCTTTGATTGCTTTTCTAATCCAAAAATCACATTGGAAAATTTCTCTCTATTGACCTCATGACAACCGAGCAGCCATTTTGTCTCATGCAATGGTGTAATTGTTTACAGAGATGTGCACCAGAAGTGGATCGAGGGGGGGAACTACGAGCTTTGCATCGAAGACGTAAGGGATGAAATCTGGGACATGGTGAAACCAGCTGACCCTCTCAGGATCGCACTCGCGGATCTCCTTTCCTGCAAGCAAGGCGGGACTATTGCCAGCATGCTTATAGATGTCCGAGGCTTCTGGGCCCACGACAACAGAGAGAACCTCCTCCAGGAAGAGGAGGAGCAAGTGGAAGAGGCTTGAGTGCCAGGCAACAAACTATGGTGCTCCGCTGTCTCAGCACTGGTGCAGCCAGCATGTGCTCCCTGCCTGCGTTATTGTAGTTTACGTAGTTGTATTAGGCCTGTTGTATAACTTGTGTAAGTGTGCCATTTGTGTGAGTGGGTTAAATCCGAGTGATTACGAGTTTGTAAGTGTGGCGTGGTGGTGCAGGCTAACTGTGTATCATTCTCAGGGCTTGTTTGAACGGTGAAAGCCTTAGTATGTGAAGTATTTACTTGAACGCTCTGGCAAATTATACAGTGCGTGTATTTTCTGTTTCTCCCACCGATTTGTAACTGCAGAACCTATGCGTTCCCTTATGGATGCGATCTATTTGTACCTGATGAATTTGCCGATGTTTTTTTTTTCAACGGAGGCAAAAGCTTTGCCTTATCCATTAAATAAGAGAGAATACAGTTACTCGCGTGCAATAAAAGACCCTAGTTTGCTCCGGCAATGACCCAAAGATTTGCCTCGGTGAAGATGTACGAAAGCAAGATTGGCGGTGGGGACACTCTTATTATGCTTAAAAACCCTTATGTTTCGCTTGTTCCAAACTGTTCAAGAGACTAGCATGGTGATGAAGGCCTTGGCTTGTTGATTTGGCGCGCCATCGGCACAAGTGCTTGCCCACCACTCTTCAACCGTGTTGAACAAGGGCCACACAGAAATGTCGAGCCCGAGCATGGGGAATTTCCCAATGACCAAAGACAGGCGCCGGGTGTAGCGGCACTTATAGAAGAGATGGGGTCCGCATTCTTGCACACTCTTGCAAAGAGGGCAAACATCACAATTTGGCCACCCGCACTTTGCCAATCTGTCTGCTGTCCAGATTCTATCTTGAAGGGCGAGCCAAGCATTTTTTTTCCTTTTGGAGGTGCTCATCCTATACATGGGCGAAAGAACCATCCCTAGGAATTGCGCTTTGTATGCGGATGCCGTCGAGTACTGCCCACTGCTCGTATGCTTCCAAATGATTTCATCCTCTGTGAGCTCGTCAAGGTGGGCCTCATTTAGTAGCATCCAAAGAGCGAAGAATTGTGTGATGTGCTCGGCGGTGACGTTGATGGGGGTTTTGATCTTGAGGATCCACGCGTTGTGCTTGAGGGCCTCCCTGACCTTCCAAAATTTTCTCTTGGAAGCTTCATAAGTGAGCGGGGCAATGTCTTTTGGCGTACGCCCAAGAAGCCAAGGAGAACCCCAAAAGGGGGTCCTCATGCCGTTACCAACGGTGATGGTGGTGGAAGCATAGAAAAAGTTGAGGTCCTCCGCATCGCATGGGTTTCCCATCCCCACCCACACCTTGGTGGTTCTTTCCATTCATACCACGCCTAGCGTAACCGGAGAGCCCTCGTAAACTTGGCGGTGTTGAGGACCTCGAGCCCTCCATACGGAAGTGTCCGGCAAACTTTCTCCCAATTCACCTTGCATTTAGCCCCCAATGTCTTGTCCGAATCGGACCATAGGAAAGCTCGTTCGAGCTTGTTGATGTTGTGGAGGATGGTTGGCGGCATGACCAATGGGGTGGTGGGGTAGACCACTTGGGGCCGTTCGCCCGATGGTGGTGATTTTTCGGCCATCATACGTTGGCAACTTGCTTGCCACTTTGTCCACAAGAAATTGAAGGTCCAACAATTTTAGCTTCCACGCGAAGAGGGGGGGTCCCAAGTATCGCGAAGGAAAAGACGCCCGTGCAGCCGGCAAGCTTTGAGTTAGGTGATCCAAATCAAGGTGGTTGCAACAAATGGGCACCACCAAGCTCTCTTGGAAATTGGTGCAAAGGCCCGTGACTTCCCCAAAACCCCTCAAAATGCTTGCAAAGTTATCAACATCCTACTTGGCCAGGGTCAGGAAGACAATCGCGTCGTTCGCCTAAAGAGAGGTCCTCATCATGGCCCCCTTCCCTAGATATTATGGAGGAGCCCCTTTTTTGTTACCACATCTAGAATTTTTTTGAAGCGGGTCCATGGCGATGACAAAGAGAAGCGGGGATCCCTGCCGAAGTCCCTGCCTATGCTTTATTGGACAACCGGCAATACCATTCAGGATGATCCTCGAGGATGAAGAGCTAAGGAGGGCCGCGACCCAATCCCTGAATTTACTTGAAATCCTCGTTGTTGGAGGAGATCAAGCAAGTACTCCCACTTCACGGAGTTGAAGGCCTTGCGGATATCGAGCTTGAAGAGGAGGGATGGGGCCTTCCTCTTGTGAAGGCGCCGAGCAAGATTGCGGACATACAAAAAATTTCATGAATGCTTCTTGTTTTGATGAAGGTGCTTTAGGCGTTAGAGACGAAATTTGTTGGTGAACGTAGCAGAATTTTAAAATTTTCTACGCATCACCAAGATCAATCTATGGAGTCATCTAGCAACGAGGGAGAGAGGAGTGCATCTACATACCCTTGTAGATCACGAGCGGAAGCGTTCAAGAGAACGGGGTTGATGGAGTCGTACTCGACGTGATCCAAATCACCGAAGATCCTAGCGCCGAACGGACGACACCTCCGCGTTCAACACACGTACGGAGCGAGGACGTCTCCCGCGCCTTGATCCAGCAAGGAGGAGGGAGAGGTTGAGGAAGAGGGCTCCAACAGCAGCACGACGGCGTGGTGGTGATGAAGGTGCAGTACTCCGGCAGGGCTTCGCCAAGCTCTTATGGAGGATGAGAGGTGTTGGGGAGGGGAGGGGCTGCGCCTTGGATGTTGTGTGCAGCCCTCCCCTCACCCATCTATTTATAGGGGAAGGGGGCCGGCCCCTTCTAGATGAGATCTAGAGGGGGGGGGCAAGGGGAGGGGGGCTTGCCCCCCAAGCAAGGGGGCGCCCCCCCTTAGGGTTTCCCCCAACCCTAGGCGCATGGGCCCTAGGGGGGTGTGGCGCCCCAGCCCACTTGGGCTGGTTCCCTTCTCCATACAGCCCATAAGGCCCTCCGAAAGAGGTGGCCCCTCCCGGTGGCCCCGGTACAATACCGACATGCCCCCGAACCTTTCCGGCGACCGTATGACAACTTCCCATATATAAATCTTTACCTCCGGACCATTCCGGAACTCCTCGTGACGTCCGGTATCTCATCCGGGACTCCGAACAACATTCGGTAATCACATACAAGTCTTCCTAACAACCCTAGCGTCATCGAACCTTAAGTGTGTAGACCCTACGGGTTCGGGAGACATGCAGACATGACCGAGACGACTCTCCGGTCAATAAACAACAGCGGGATCTGGATACCCATGTTGGCTCCCACATGCTCCACGATGATCTCATCAGATGAACCACGAAGTCGAGGATTCAATCAATCCGTATACAATTCCCTTTGTCAATCTGTACGTTACTTGCCCGAGACTCGATCGTCGGTATCCCAATACCTTGTTCAGTCTCGTTACCGGCAAGTCACTTTACTCGTACCGTAATGCATGATCCCGTGATCAACCACTTGATCACATTGAACTCATTATGATGATGCATTACCGAGTGGGCCCAGAGATACCTCTCCGTCATACGGAGTGACAAATCCCAGTCTCAATTCGTGCCAACCCAACAGACACTTTCGGAGATACCTGTAATGTACCTTTATAGTCACCCAGTTACGTTGTGACGTTTGGCACACCCAAGGCACTCCTACGGTATCCGGGAGTTGCACAATCTCATGGTCTAAGGAAATGATACTTGACATTCAGAAAAGCTACAGCAAACGAACTACACGATCTTTGAGCTAAGCTTAGGATTGGGTCTTGTCCATCACATCATTCTCCTAATGATGTGATCCCGTTATCAATGACATCCAATATCCATAGTCAGGAAACCATGACTATCTTTTGATCAACGAGCTAGTCAACTAGAGGCTCACTAGGGACGTGTTGTGGTCTATGTATTCACACATGTATTACGATTTCCGGATAACACAATTATAGCATGAACAATAGACAATTACCATGAACAATGAAATATAATAATAACCATTTTATTATTGCCTCTAGGGCATATTTCCAACAGTCTCCCACTTGCACTAGAGTCAATATTCTAGTTACATTGTGATGAATCGAACACCCATGCAGTTCTGGTGTTGATCATGTTTTGCTCTAGGGAGAGGTTTAGTCAACGGATCTGCTACATTCAGGTCCGTATGTACTTTACAAATCTTTATGTCTCCATTTTGAACACTTTCACGAATGGAGTTGAAGCGACGCTTGATATGCCTGGTCTTCCTGTGAAACCTGGGCTCCTTGGCAAGGGCAATAGCTCCAGTGTTGTCACAGAAGAGAGTCATCGGGCCCGACGCATTGGGTATGACTCCTAGGTCGGTAATGAACTCCTTCACCCAGACTGCTTCTTGTGCTGCCTCCGAGGCTGCCATGTACTCCACTTCACATGTAGATCCCGCCACAACGCTTTGCTTGCAACTGCACCAACTTACTACCCCACCATTCAAAATATACACGTATCCGGTTTGTGACTTAGAGTCATCCAGATCTGTGTCGAAGCTAGCATCGACGTAACCCTTTACGACGAGCTCTTCGCCACCTCCATAAACGAGAAACATTTCCTTGGTCCTTTTCAGGTACTTCAGGATATTCTTGTCCGCTGACCAGTGTTCCATGACAGGATTACTTTGGTACCTTCCTACCAAACTTACGGCAAGGTTTACATCAGGTCTGGTACACAACATAGCATACATGATAGACCCTATGGCCGAGGCATAGGGGACGACACTCATCTTTTCTCTATCTTCTGCCGTGGTCGTGAATTGAGCCGTGCTCAATCTCGTACCTTGCAATACAGGCAAGAACCCCTTCTTTGACTGATCCATTTTGAACTTCTTCAATATCTTGTCAAGGTACGTACTCTGTGAAAGACCAATGAGGCGTCTCGATCTATCTCTATAGATCTTGATGCCTAATATATAAGCAGCTTCTCCAAGGTCCTTCATTGAAAAACACTTGTTCAAGTAGGCCTTTATGCTTTCCAAGAATTCTATATCATTTCCCA